AGTCACTTACTGACCCTTTATAGAGCCATAGAGGATCAGTAAGTGACTATCTAACTTATGATATGAGTGCTCGGTATTAGGTGGTTATACGAGTGCACGGCATTAGGTGATGTTATATGAATGCACGGCATTAGGTGATACTATATGAGTGCACGGCATTAGGTGATACTATATGAGTGCACGGCATTAGGTGATGTTATATGAATGCACGGCATTAGGTGATACTATATGAGTGCACGGCATTAGATGGTACTATATGAGTGCACGGCTTTAGGTGATGCTATATGAGTGCACGATATTAGGTGTTGTTATATGAGTGCACGGCGTTAGGTGTTGTTATATGAGTGCACGGCATTAGGTGATACTATATGAGTGCACGATATTAGGTGATGCTACATGAGTGCACGGCATTAGGTGATACTATATGAGTGCACGGCATTAGATGATGTTATATAAGTGCACGGCATTAGGTGATAAAATATGAGTGCACGGGATTAGATGATAAAATATGAGTGCAAGGGATAAGATGATACTAAATGAGTACATGGGATTAGATGATGATATATGATTGCACGGGTTTAGATGATGTTATATGAGTGCATGGCATTAGATGATAAAATATGAGTGCACGAAATTAGATGATGTTATATAAGTGCACGGCATTAGATGATAAAATATGAGTGCACGGGATCAGATGATACTAAATGAGTGCACGGGATTAGATGATGATATATGAGTGCACGGGTTTAGATGATGTTATATGAGTGCATGGGTTTAGATGATGTTATATGAGTGCATGGCACTAGGTGTTGTTATATGAGTGCACGGGATTAGGTGATGATATATGAGTGCACGGCATTAGGTGATGATATATGAGTGCACGGGATTAGGTGATGATATATGAGTGCACGGCATTAGGTGATGATATATGAGTGCACGGGATTAGGTGATACTATATGAGTGCACGGGATTAGATGATAAAACATGAGTGCACGGGATTAGATTATGTTATATGAGTGCACGGGATTAGATGATGATATATGAGTGCACGGGATTAGATGATAAAATATGAGTGCACGGGATTAGATGATGTTATATGAGTGCACGGGATCAGATGATACTAAATGAGTGCACGGGATTAGATGATGATATATGAATGCACGGGTTTAGATGATGTTATATGAGTGCATGGCATTAGATGATAAAATATGAGTGCACGAAATTAGATGATGTTATATAAGTGCACGGCATTAGATGATAAAATATGAGTGCACGGATAGATGATACTAAATGAGTGCACGGGATTAGATGATGATATATGAGTGCACGGGTTTAGATGATGTTATATGAGTGCATGGGTTTAGATGATGTTATATGAGTGCACGGGATTAGATTATGTTATATGAGTGCACGGGATTAGATGATGATATATGAGTGCACGGGATTAGATGATAAAATATGAGTGCACGGGATTAGATGATGTTATATGAGTGCACGGTTATAGATGATGTTATATATGAGTGCACGGGATTAGGTGATGATTTATGATTGCCCGGGTTTAGATGATGTTATATGAGTGCATAGCACTAGGTGTTGTTATATGAGTGCATAGCACTAGGTGTTGTTATATGAGTGCATAGCACTAGTGTTGTTATATGAGTGCACGGGATTAGATGATAAAACATGAGTGCACGGGATTAGATGATAAAATATGAATGCACAGGATTAGATGATAGAATATGAGTGCACGGGATCAGATGATACTAAATGAGTGCATGGGATTAGATGATGATATATGATTGCACGGGTTTAGATGATGTTATATGAGTGCACGGGATTAGATGATACTAAATGAGTGCATGGGATTAGATGATGATATATGATTGCACGGGTTTAGATGATGTTATATGAGTGCATGGCATTAGATGATAAAATATGAATGCACGGGATTAGATGATAAAATATGAGTGCATGAGATTAGGTGATGTTATATAAGTGCACGGCATTAGGTGATAAAATATGAGTGCACGGGATCAGATGATACTAAATGAGTGCACGGGATTAGATGATGATATATGAGTGCACGGGTTTAGATGATGTTATATGAGTGCACGGGTTTAGATGATGTTATATGAGTGCATGGCACAAGGTGTTGTTATATGAGTGCACGGCATTAGGTGATGATATATGAGTGCACGGGATTAGGTGATGATATATGAGTGCACGGCATTAGGTGATGATATATGAGTGCACGGGTTTAGATGATGTTATATGAGTGCACGGCATTAGGCGATAAAACATGAGTGCACGGCATTAGGTGATACTATATGAGTGCACGGAATTAGATGATGATATATGAGTGCAAAGGATTAGATGATAAAACATGAGTGCACGGGATTAGATTATGTTATATGAGTGCACGGGATTAGATGATGATATATGAGTGCACGGGATTAGATGATAAAATATGAGTGCACAGGATTAGATGATGTTATATGAGTGCACGGGATCAGATGATACTAAATGAGTGCACGGGATTAGATGATGATATATGAGTGCACGGGTTTAGAGGATGTTATATGAGTGCATGGCACTAGGTGTTGTTATATGAGAGCACGGGATTAGGTGATGATTTATGATTGCCCGGGTTTAGATGATGTTATATGAGTGCATAGCACTAGGTGTTGTTACATGAGTGCATAGCACTAGGTGTTGTTATATGAGTGCATGGGATTAGATGATGATATATGAGTGCACCAGATTAGGTGATGATATATGAGTGCACGGGATTAGATGATAAAACATGAGTGCACGGGATTAGATGATAAAATATGAATGCACGGGATTAGATGATAAAATATGAATGCACGGGATTAGATGATAAAACATGAGTGCACGGGATTAGATGATAAAACATGAGTGCACGGGATTAGATGATAAAACATGAGTGCACGGGATTAGATGATAAAATATGAATGCACGGGATTAGATGATAAAACATGAGTGCACGGGATTAGATGATAAAACATGAGTGCACGGGATTAGATGATGTTATATGAGTGCACGGGATCAGATGATTCTAAATGAGTGCACGGGATTAGATGATGATATATGAGTGCACGGCATTAGGTGTTGTGATATGAGTGCACGGGATTAGATTATGTTATATGAGTGCACAGGATTAGATGATAAAACATGAGTGCACGGGATTAGATGATAAAATATGAATGCACGGGATTAGATGATAAAACATGAGTGCACGGGATTAGATGATAAAACATGAGTGCACGGGATTAGATGATGTTATATGAGTGCACGGGATCAGATGATTCTAAATGAGTGCACGGGATTAGATGATGATATATGAGTGCACGGCATTAGGTGTTGTGATATGAGTGCACGGGATTAGATTATGTTATATGAGTGCACAGGATTAGATGATGATATATGAGTGCACGGGATTAGATGATAAAATATGAGTGCACGGGATTAGATGATAAAATATGAGTGCACGGGATTAGATGATGATATATGAGTACACGAGATTAGATGATAAAATATGAGTGCACGGGATTAAATGATAAAATATGAATGCACGGGATTAGGTGTTGTGATATGAGTGCACGGGTTTAGATGATGATATATGAGTGCACGGGATTAGATGATAAAACATGAATGCACGGGATTAGATGATAAAACATGAGTGCACGGGATTAGATGATAAAACATGAGTGCACGGGATTAGATGATAAAACATGAGTGCACGGGATTAGATGATAAAACATGAATGCACGGGATTAGATGATAAAACATGAATGCACGGGATTAGATGATAAAACATGAGTGCACGGGATTAGATGATAAAACATGAGTGCACGGGATTAGATGATGTTATATGAGTGCACGGGATTAGGTAATACTATATGAGAGCACGGGATTAGATGATGATATATTAGTGTACAGGATCATTTGATACTATATGAGCTAACGGGATCATGTGATATAATATGAGTGTATGGGATTAAGTGATACTATATGAGTGCACGGCTTTAGGTGATACTATATGAATGCACGGGGTCATGTTACACCATATGAGAGTACACTATCCTCTGATGATATATTGGTTTACAGGAACATGTGATGATATTTTAGTGTACATGATCATTTGATACTATATGAGTGAACGGTATGAGATGATACTAAATGAGTGTAAGGGATTAAGTGATATATGAATATACAGGCTCATGTGATAGTATATATGTATACTGGGTCATTTGATAAACACGTGTTTATGACACTATACTGTGTTATGATTATCTGTTGTTTTTGTTTTTTAAGGATGCTGATATGAGTTTGAGAATTGAGTTACAAGGAAAACTTGGTTAAACCATCAGAGGCCTCCTCGTATCGTAATATCGGGAATGTTAGCGATTGGAATTGTTTTTACATCTGTGTTAGTCAGCCTTGGAGAATCTGGCCCGGATATCCTTCAACTGAGGCAGGTATTTAACAAAACCACAGAATATAGCCAATACAAACATACGCGCACGCGAGGTCAATTTCGGCATAAAACATAGCATTTCACCGAGATTTCAAAATCAGCAGTCAGTCCGCTTTCAAAGGTTTGAATAAAGATAAGAGTAGATAGATATTATACCGTGCAAGTTATTTCATGGTGAAACATTTGAAAAAAAAAACCTGATACCTAAAAGGAAAAATCTAATTTTAGCTTTTTTGTAACTTAGTGTATTATCTGGTTTATCGCAAGCGATGTTGATGCCATGGCGACGTATTCTCGGTTTCTCCTCGGCTCACATCGTTACTCTCTACTCCTAGTAATGATGCTATCTCTCGCTCTACTATATGTCGACGCTGATTGGATGACAGGCAGCGAGGAGTTTTCTCTCCCAAGATAACTTTTACGAAGATGTATTATAACCCACAAATAAAACCTGTGCGACACTTATAATCATACTGCTCTGAGATTTGCAGCGTAATCGTACTCAGACCGTCTGGCCACGCGGGCTGCTCACTAAATACCCACTAGGAGTTTCGGAAAGTGTTTATTTTATTTCGTCATGGCGAATGCAGGTAAACCTGATTTACCCGAAGGTTACCTGGGTGCCCAAGGGTCATTTGGAGATCTTGGCCTCAGTGTCTCAAGCCACAGTGATCCTTGTATCACGATCAGAGAAAACCATTTGGATATTTCATTCAACTGCAGTACGCCGGTAAAGTTTACACACCAGTTAATTAACTGTGCCACGGAAAAGGAAAATAATGAGTATGTGTTCACACATACAAAGGACAAAACCGTGGTGTTTGTAATACAACTTCCGGAAATTGGTTACTACAAGCTCCAGCTATTTGCTCTTCCTGTTACAGACGAGAGCAAATCCCTTCCTAATGTCTTCAATTATCTTATCCATTGTACTCGAGCAGTGCAGCCGGTGTACCCTTACCCCAAACAGTACGCCCAGTGGAAGGAAGGGTGTTTCCTGTACAAACCATTAATCCTACACAACGACTCCAAACTAACAAACATTCAGTGGAGCGTGCAGGTGCCACACGCAAAGGGTGTGGCCGTTGTTGCTGACGGCGAGTGGTTCCACTTTGAAAATCGAGGGGGACCGATTTGGGATGCGACGTTTAGTCTCGATAATCTCAGAGGCAAGAATGCAAAGATAACCTTGAACGCCAACCTTTCGGACGATGAGACCAAGTACTGTACGTTACTGGAGTACAAGTTATAGGCACCGAACAAAAGGCAATACTTGTTTATTACATTATAATACAACGGAAATATAGGACAATATGATAGATATTAAGGACCGAAGTGTGTGACATACATTCAGGTCTGGGATAGTTTTTGGCAATATAGAACCTCATATGTATACTGTTTTACAAGATTTGCTTTCGCTGGAACAAAAGTACCATACTTTATTTATTTGCTTATGTAACGGCTCTTGAGGTCAAATGCGATGGTAAGTATTTGTAAATCTATTTATTGCTCCAAACAAATAAATGATAGCTATATAATCATATCGAATGATATGTAATTAACCATGTTATCAGCCGTCCACATGGTTCATGTTTCCTATTTCTTTTTATTCCTTAACAAAATTTTATATATTCTTTGTAATCCTTTAAAGTGAAATAAGTTTTTGAGGTTTTACTGTATAATAGTGACAGTATAACAAGGTTTTAGTGTATAATGATGATAGTATAACAAGGTTTTACTGTGTAATGGTGTCGGTAATTGTATAATGGTGACAGTATAACAAGGTTTTACTGTGTAATGGTTTCGGTAAAACAAGGTTTTACTGTATAATGGTGACAGTATAACAAGGTTTTACTGTATAATGGTGACAGTATAACAAGGTTTTACTGTATAATGGTGACAGTATAACAAGGTTTTACTGTATAATGGTGACAGCATAACGAGGTCATACTGTATAATTGTGGCAGTACAACAAATTCCTATTGTATAATTGTGCCAGTATAACAAAACTATCCTGTGAAATTGTGTCAGTAAATCAAGGTCCTATTATAAACCTGTGTCAGCATATCAACGTTCTGTTGTAAAATTGTCTTAGTATATCAAGGTTCTACTGTAAAATCGTGTCAGTATATCAAGGGTCTATTGTAAAATTTTGTCAGTATATGAAGGTTCTACACGAAAATTTCATCAACGTGCAATGTAAAGATAGTGTCATTTTATCAAGATTCTAGTGCAAAATAGTGTCCTTATATCAATGTTCTTCTGTAAAATTGTGTTAGTATATCAAGGTTCTACACAAAAATTGTATCAGTATAACAAGGTTCTACTAAACAATGTGTTAGTATATCAAAGCTATATTGTATAATCGCGTCGGTTTATCAAGGTTCTACTATAAACTTGTGTCAGTATATTAAGGCTTTACTGTATAACTATGTCAGGATATCAAACGTCTACTGTAAAATTTTGTCAGTATATGAAGGTTTTATTGTGAAAGTGTTTGAGTATATCAATGTTCTAATATAAGATTATGTCAGTATATCAAGGTTCTACTGTAAAATAGTGTCAGCATATTCAGGTTCTACTATATAATTGTGTCAGTATATCAAGGTTCTACTATATTATTGTGTCAGTATATCATAGCTCTGCTGTACCATTGAGTTAGTATATCAAGATTCTTTCCAGCATTCTTATGTGATGCAGATAGACATAAATATAGACTTCAGAGACCCCGAGTTCTCGAGTTCAAACAGATTCCTATCTGATATAAAACAAGCACTTCGTGGTTTGGTCGATCCATCATTGTTCGTGGTTTTGTCACATCATCATCGTTCACGGCTTTGTTATCGTCTTTATCACTTTCTTTCCACCTGTGGGTCGCAGGTTTGAGACCATGCACACCCAGCATACCTTAAATGACTCTGGCTGTTAATAAGACGTAATGCAAAAATAAACGAAGCTAAAATGATTCCCTCACAGTTTAGTGTAGTCGCTTGGTAACACACGTTCTGTAATATTTTAGTACAATTTTCCTATTTTCAAATGCAAGGACTGTCAATCATACCGACGAAACGTAATACATATTTCTGATTTATACCACGATTATGATCTTGGTTCAGTAGGGGTGGCCATTCTGTCAAGGATTCACAATCATTTCCTGTCATATTTCTCAAGTCTTTCTTGATATCCAGCCAGCTGCGTTTGAGGGTCTGGTTGTACATCAGAAACTACACTCACATTAAACCTTGATCATGCTACATATTCCAGTCACAATACTATAAACCGTGAAATGTTCGCCTCTGTATAATTTCCCCATTGTTGTCTATGAACTAGGAGGTCTTAGTGGGCGAAAATTTAATACACTTATATAACTATTTTTGTAATCCTCAGAGGGTGAAATGAAGATGAGGTGAATGGGTGTATAATGGTACAAGGGTGAAAATAACATGGGGCGAAACTGTTTCAATATGCAGTATAGAAACGAAATATTTGGGAGACGAACAGTGTTTGCTGTTTATTGGCCGAAGTTATTGTCCCGTGAAAAGTCAGATTAATTTACTTGATCGGGTTTCCTTGGAGTAGCTGGGGACTACCACACTGAACAATAGAGGGAGATCCAACGCATGTTAATATAAAGTTTTTGTCATACATAGTGTAGAGTGTACCATGAAACGTATTTCATTTAGAATTATGAAACAGTCATGTCAGCGTGAACAAGAAGATAAACATTTTAAGTTAATATTTTGGTACTGAATATAAGGCCACACTAAAAGTAGTGATGTCTGACAATTTGGTCAACTCTGATGGTCATTTGGATTGCTACTATGGCCTGTCCGATTTGGATAGATTGCTAGCTGTTCCTAGTGCATGTAAATGCTGAAGAGCACATAGTAATTAATCCATGTGGTTTAAAGTAGCCTACTTCTGTTAAAAATGTATATGTTTTGAAGCTATTTCAGCCTGTTTTATCTATTACGTAATTTGTATATGATAAAGTTATCGGTTACTTTGACCTTGAAACGTATTAAGAGCGTACGATATATATCAGGCGGCAACATGAGAATGCGATTGTAGAGCAAGCAGTATGATTGTATTTTCTAAGTTATTTTCGTAATATACTTGATACAAATGTCGATCCTGATATAAAATAACACAGAGTGGCCGATGTTCTAGACAAGAATGTCTATGTCTTGTCGTCTGAGATTGAATCTATCCTAGGTATGCCTTGGTGCACGTATCTGTGGATACCAATCTAGTGAGAAGCGTAACACACACACTGCCTTCCGCTATTGTACAACGCCGACGGGAAGTCGGAACTGTTGACATTGCGTCAAATTGGGCAAAACATGAAACATACGTAAGATAAAGCTTAATAATCTTATATAACGAGTAACTAGTTAAACACTCGTGTAAACAAAATGTTGGGGAGATTCCAGACGTCTCTTCCCACAGCTTCAGTGTCAAACAGGTTCAATTCTTTTCCGTCGACATCATACAAAAACTGGCATGCTCTTTGAACCTAAGCTCGCGTACTTTCTGAGTATATCATCAGTATAACTAATTTACAAACAGATGTTTATTTTCAACTTACAAGTTTGACGTTAAAAACCTAGACACATTTTATTCAGTTGGCAAGTGCACATAGATAAACAAACACCATTGAGAAAGACCTTTTAAATTGATAGGTCGTGTGTGTTACTGTAGAAGTTGATAGTTTGGAGTTTTCAAATCTCAACGTATCGAAAATTTTGAAAGCGTTACTAACAACAAATTCGAACATTGCTTTATTGCTTAGTCTAGACGTAAATACGACGCTGTGAAGACAACTTCCACTTAATAAGATATTTATAACGAGGGCCTTTGTTGATAGGTGAGAGTAATGTTAAGATATTCATGACGAGGGAAGAGATTTTGTCTTTGTTGATGGGTGAAATTTATGCTGAAATATTTACGACGAGGGAAGAGTTTTTGTCTTTGTTGAGGGGCGCGAGTAATGTTAAGACATTTATGACAAGGGAAGAGATTTTGGGTGGGAGTAATATTAAGATGTTTATGACGAATGAAGAGTTTTTATCTTTATTGACGGGTGTGAGTAACGTTAAGATATTTATGACTAGGAAAAGATTTTAGTTGGGAGTAATGTAAAGATATTTATGACGAGGGAAACATTTTGCAGATAAAACATAGCTCAAATAATGTTTCCAACTTATCTTAACAAACAGCTGTAAAATAAAACCATTTATAATGACGTGCAGCTTTATCATCTAGATATAAATTATCTGTGGTAGTCCATCTCATGGACCGAATAGGGCTGATGAGACGCGGGCTCGCTGACAGCAGGAGGTATCATTCTCTTACTCCTGATAAAAGTCCATCGTGTATGTTTATCATCGGGCTACTCAGTTTGTCGGAAACGTGTTAAGGAAGCCATAGACATTTGTAGGATATGTAGCAGTAAAAATGGAAGAGGGTCTAACGGAAAATGGCAAAGCAATATGATCCGTCTAATCCTTCTCTTTTTCGCTCCATCTAAGATTTCCCTTTCTCTATCCTGTCCTCTCTCACTTTCATCCCTACATCATCGTACTCTCTAGATAAATATTTTTCTATCTCGTCCTCTCTCTTAACATTCATCTCGCTATCCCCATACTCTCTAGATAAATATTTCTCTATCCCGTCCTCTCTCTTAACTTTCATCCCTACATCCTCGTACTCTCTAGATAAATATTTCTCTATCCCGTCCTCTCTCTTAACTTTCATTTCGCTATCCCCGTACTCTCTAGATAAATATTTCTCTATCCCGTCCTCTCTCTTAACTTTCATCTCGCTATCCACGTACTCTCTAGATAAATATTTCTTTATCAACTCCTCTCTCTTAACGTTTATCTCGCTACCCCCGTACTTTAGATAAAACTTTCATTTCGCTATCTCTGTACTGTCTAGATAAATATTTCTCTATGCTGTCCTCTCTCTTAACTTTCATTTCGCTATCCCCGTACTCTCTAGATAAATATTTCTCTATCCCGTCCTCTCTCTTAACTTTCATCTCGCTATCCACGTACTCTCTAGATAAATATTTCTTTATCAACTCCTCTCTCTTAACGTTTATCTCGCTATCCCCGTACTTTAGATAAAACTTTCATTTCGCTATCTCTGTACTGTCTAGATAAATATTTCTCTATCCTGTCCTCTCTCTTAACTTTCATCTCGATATCCTCGTACTCTCTAGATAAATATTTCTCTATCCCGGCCTCTCTCACCTTTCTAGTCCTCTCCCGTTAAGATTTTCTTTTCTAGTCTTTCTATCTATCATCTTTCTCCTCTACAAAATTTCACTTTTCTGTCATGCAATCTCCTGCCCTGTCATTTCATACCCACGTGGTATGGCTACATGTCTATTTATACTATGGCATCTTCATTTCTCCTCTAACAATACCACTCTCTCTCTCTCTTTCTCTCGATTATCTTATCTCTAAAAGTATCTTCTTTCTCTTTTTTTATTACCCTCGTCTTTCCCATAACATCATCTTTCCTTCTTATCTATACAAATTTTACACAACATCCTAGTCTGTCCTCTGATATTTCCGACACAATCCCTGTATCACTCTAGTCTGTCCTCTGATATTTCAGACACTCTTGTATCACCCTAGTCTTTCCTCTGATATTTCAGACACTCTTGTATCACCCTAGTCTTTCCTCTGATATTTCAGACACTCTTGTATCATCCTAGTCTGTCCTCTGATATTACCGACAATCCTGTATCACTCTAATATGTCCTCTTATATTTCCGACAATCCCTGTATCACTCTAAATATGTTCTCTGATATTTCAGACATTCTTGTATCACTCTTGTCTGTCCTCTGATATTTCCGACACTCTTGTATCACTCTTGTCTGTTTCCCGATATCTTAGACAGCTCTGTATCACTCTAATCTGTACTATGATATTCCCGACACTCTTGCATCACTCTTGTATGTTCTCTAATAATTTAGACACTCCTGTATCGACCTAGTCTGCCCTCCGAAATCTTAGACTCTGCTGTATCACCCTTGGTTTTCCTTTGACACTCTCGACTGTCCTCCAACACCCTCGTCTCTCTTTTTAACATCGGAGTTCCACCTCTGAAAACCTATTTGACTTTTGCTACTTATGTATAACATTTTCTCTCGTATAACAATCTTTCCAACCTGTAAGACCCTTATTTCTTCTCTAACACTCTCCTCTCTCCTCTGCCGCCTTCTCTCCTATCATCTTAATCTCGTCTCCCCTTTCACCCTTTTCTATCCAGCACCACCCTCGTTCATCTCCTTATACTCTCCTCAGACACCCACTTCTCTCTTACGTTACCCTCTTCTCTCATTTCACAACTTCGTCTCTCCTCAGCCCTTACTGACCCCATGTTCCTGTTTGTATTTCTTCGCTGCTTGAACATTCCAAACACCCCTCGACCTCTGATCAAGGATATTTCTAATTCTTAGTCGCGTTGTTAAATGGAAACGAGAAAATTAAGATAAGAACCTGCATTCGCCGAAACATGATATGATTGAGAAATGCGCGTGTATAAGATGTTTGTGTGCGGACTAAACTGATCGTACCGATAAACTGGGTACAGCCTACTTCTGGATCTTGTCTGGTCTCATCTTCATCTCACTCTAATCATACAGAAAATAAATAGGTACGGAAGAATCCAACCACATAACTACATATATCAACATGTCTATATATAGACATGGCCGTGCGCGTGCAGCTATCGAGTTCTCGGTTTTCCGGTGACGGTTAGGCCGTCAGGTTATTTTAGGTAATCTCAGTATAGTGTAGTCTTCATCTCATTTTGTCAGGTTTTATGAAACACACTATACATCAAACTTGACTGGGCGAGTAGCTATGTACACATTCTACCGTCATTAAACGCACGTGTCACCGCCAATCACGCGCGTTACTTCCGCCTAACTAACCAGGAACTCGCGTGGTCGAAACTTGGCCCAGACTGCTGTAATTACTGTTTATGCTGACTATAGTGCCCTGTTTTTGTTTCTTGGATTGCTTTGTTAAAACTAAACACAACTATTTTTATAAATAACAAACAAGTTGGCGCTACAGAAAACTTCGATAAGAAACCTCTACAGTAGAAAATCAATGTGTACTTAAAGCCTGGAAACAGATCGAGTCGATTTCTGTCAAGACATCTTAGAACATTCTTAAATCATTATATATATCAACGGTGGAAGAGCATTGGTTTTGTTTGTTTGTTTGTTTTTGTTCAATTTTATTTTATTTATTATTCTTATTATTATTACAATTAGCATTATTTAAGTGATCTTTGAAAAACATCACTATTTGAAAAAAAATCATATTTAAATTTGTGCACATCAATGTGTTTTGACGTTTAACATTTTCGTGGTGTTTTTATCTCCTAGATACTGCAGTACATATTCTTATTTGTTCATCATTTTTGCGTTCTTATTTAAACATATTTGTTTGTGAGTTCCTATAGACACAAATGTAAACAATAAAACGTTGTTTTTTCTTTATTTAGGTGTGATAGAAAAATCCTAAATTAATTTAAAATCAGTTGTGACTCAGGGAGTTGGTTATCATTAGAATCCTGATTATACCAAATAATTTTCTATTAAGCTCGTGTAATAACTTTGCGGATTTGTCGACTATTCCATAGTGCCTGCAATGTTTGTTCGCTGTATTATTAAATCACGTGCCTAAGAAACCAATGTTTTTATTCATTTCTGTTCTGTAGCGTACAACAAGTTAGAACATCTGCCTGTCAGTGTGTAGATAGTCTACAGCTCTGACAGGATTTCCTACTCAGAGTAAACCTTTATCTATCAGTGGATCACTCATCACCAAAAGATGCCCGTTTATCTACGATACCGTCAGAACGAATATTGACGCGTTTAACCCTCTTTTTTTTAGTGATCCGTTGTTGGTTGTATGAATGTGTTTATAAATGTTAAGACATACGCTACCATTATCGAGGCTCCAGGTCTATAAAAACTAAACTATTTTCTGTGCGATATGACGACAGGATAAAGAATTCAGTTACTTATCGAAATACCATCAGGTGACTCCATACATCATTTTAGTATTTATTTATCTATGAACACTGCATAATCGGTGTTTGAACAACCCTCTCTATAACGACCACCACGTATAGTTAGACATAATATAACGATCTCTTTTATATCAAATACAGTTTATACCGTTTGATATACTACCACATTGTGTTAACAATGATCCTCTCTATAACGACCATCATATACTGTTACAAACACTAATATTGTCTCTTTAATATCATGTCAAGCTTAGAAATTGTGTTTACAATAACCCTCTATAACGACCATCACATTCAGTTAGACATACTGACTGCTAGTGTTAACAAAACTACTCTCTATAACAGCCATCTGCTAAAGTTACACACACTATCACAATATACACGGCGTGTTTTATAATAATTTCTATATATAATCACCATCACATACACAGTTCGACACACTATCACTGTTAAAGAACAACTCAATGTCCATGTTTTATAACAACTCCATGTTCATGTGTTAAAACAACTCTATGTTCACGTGTTAGAACAACTCCATGTTCATGTGTTAGAACAACTCCATGTTTATGTGTTAGAACAACTCCATGTTCATGTGTTGTGTTCCATGTGTTAGAACAACTCCATGTTCCATGTTCATGTGTTAAAACAACTCTATGTTCACGTGTTAGAACAACTCCATGTTCATGTGTTAGAACAACTCCATGTTTATGTGTTAGAACAACTCCATGTTCATGTGTTAGAACAACTCCATGTCCATGTGTTAGAACAACTCCATGTCCATGTGTTAGAACAACTCCATGTTCATATGTTAGAACAACTCCATGTTCATGTGTTAAAACAACTCAATGTTCACGTGTTAGAACAACTCCATGTTCATGTGTTAGAACAACTCCATGTCCATGTGTTAGAACAACTCCATGTTCATGTGTTAGAACAACTCCATCTTCATGTGTTAGAATAACTCCATGTCCATGTGTTAGAACAACTCCATGTTCATGTGTTAGAACAACTCCATGTTCATGTGTTAGAACAACTCCATGTTCATGTGTTAGAACAACTCCATGTCCATGTGTTAGAACAACTCCATGTTCATGTGTTAGAACAACTCCATGTCCATGTGTTAGAACAACTCCATGTTCATGTGTTAGAACAACTCCATGTTCATGTGTTAGAACAACTCCATGTCCATGTGTTAGAACAACTCCTTGTCCATGTGTTAGAACAACTCCATGTTCATATGTTAGAACAACTCCATGTTCATGTATTAGAACAACTCCATGTCCATGTGTTAGAACAACTCCATGTTCATGTGTTAGAACAACTCCATGTTTATGTGTTAGAACAACTCCATGTTCATGTGTTAGAACAACTCCATGTTCATGTGTTAGAACAACTCCATGTTCATGTATTAGAACAACTCCATGTCCATGTGTTAGAACAACTCCATGTCCATGTGTTAGAACAACTCCATGTCCATGTGTTAGAACAACTCCATGTCCATGTGTTAGAACAACTCCATGTCCATGTGTTAGAACAACTCCATGTCCATGTGTTAGAACAACTCCATGTCCATGTGTTAGAACAACTCCATGTTCATGTGTTAGAACAACTCCATGTTCATGTGTTCATGTGTTAGAACAACTCCATGTTCATGTGTTAGAACAACTCCATGTTCATGTGTTAGAGCAACTCCATGTCCATGTGTTAGAACAACTCCATGTCCATGTGTTAGAACAACTCCATGTCCATGTGTTAGAACAACTCCATGTTCATGTGTTAGAGCAACTCCATGTCCATGTGTTAGAACAACTCCATGTCCATGTGTTAGAACAACTCCATGTCCATGTGTTAGAACAACTCCATGTCCATGTGTTAGAACAACTCCATGTCCATGTGTTTGAACACCTCCATGTTCATGTGTTAGAACAACTCCATGTTCATTTGTTAGAACAACTCCATGTGTTAGAAAGAACAACTCCATGTGTTAGAAAGAACAACTCCATGTGTTAGAACAACTCCATGTGTTAGAACAACTCCATGTCCATGTGTTAGAACAACTCCATGTTCATGTGTTAGAACAACTCCATGTCCATGTGTTAGAACAACTCCATGCTCATGTGTTAGAACAACTCCATATTCATGTGTATATTTTGCCACTATTAGATTGTATCAAAATGTGGCATGCAGGCTTTTTTCCATTTTTTGTTTTCACAATGTACCACCACTATCGTTTAACCACCTACCGACCATGTTTATAATGTCACTGATACTGATCTACATATACTGATCTACATCATGTGATGAAATCACAGACGTGGATTGGGCAGTGTACCTAAACTATAACAGTGTCTTCAGTGGCCACCATCCAATTCCCTACTTTGGTTGTAGATTATTTGTGTCAGAAGTTGAGGATTAGTGACTGGAGATTGGAGATTGGAGTCCGCTCCCTGAAACCGATTCGTCATTTGAATCCCCAATATCCAACAGCGAATACGTCCCTAAATAATGTTACTTTGTAAACTGAACGTGTAATTCGCGTGTTTTTTCTTAATTATGTTGGAATTCAAACATTCTGTCACCATTGTACGTCCGATGACTTTAGAATTCTGAACAACAAACTATGCTGACAAAACATAATTAACTTTATATTACCGTTGAAGCAAGCTAGACGAAATTTAATATTGTTTTCGTTTGTTGTAGGTTGTTCTGCTGGCCCGTCGCTGATGCTTAGTTGCTGTGTGAATGTAGCGAGAGTTCCATCACATGGGAGAGGATAGTTTCGTACTTTTTTGTAAAAGTCTAAAATCGGTTCAGAAGTTTTTAACCAAAACAATTTTTTTTGCCAATTTACTTTTCAGTTGAAATTTATGTTTGGAGGTTTCACAAAAAACCTGGTTCGGAGTGTATCGAGTGCCTTAATACCATTTCTCTCTGCTAGGCTCCGCCGATTGGGTCATTTTAGAGTGAGGTATTGCGGAGAGTAGAAAACGACAACAGATGAATAAGTTTATACAATACGTGTTTATTAAAATTTTCTGTGAAATTCACGACTATGTCTAGTAGTCTAGCTATCCGCCTTGATGTGATTTTACTATTTTTTATAAATATGATATAATTCTATTTGTATTTTGTTTTTAAATTTTCATTTATAGATCATTTTTGTTCTGTTTGCATTGCTCATTATTGTTAGAGAAATAAATTGGATATAAAGCTCCGTATATGTGGTTTTTCTGCTTTTACGCACTTTCCCACCTGATCGATGAAAAGATCCAATTGTTTTAACACCCTGAGTGAAACAGCTTTCTGATTTGCCGATAAATACCTTTAAAATTTAACCGAAATGCCTTTGCCAATTTTGAAATGAGGAACGCCTATACCGGGGAGGATGACTTAACATATATACGTACCGTTCTAAACTTAGCATCAAAGCATTTCCATAACATCGATCTCTTGGTGGTAATACTCTAAACCTATTTTTGACTGACAAATTAACACAATATTTTATCAACGCGAGAAACGTGATAACAATCAAAATGTTTTATGTTTATAGATGATGTTCAGTATGCGAGTACATCCTCCACAATATTCTAATGGTTTATAGCGGGATACTAAGTATTCGTAATATTATGTTGGTGTGTTGTTAAATGTCCATCTTTAAAGATGATATGAGACCCTAAAATTTTAACTGGGGTTCGGTCAATTATAAACCATTTTTTAGATTTTATCTTCCGATCTCAAAAATACAGTGTACTATTCCAACCGTCGCGCGGAAAAAATGTTTTGGTTTTGCTTCTACTGTTGGGGTTTTGCTAGAATCCTGAAATAACGTGGGCTTTTTGGCATAATTTGTAAAACGAATGAAGATTTTTTTATATGGTTAGATAGTATTAAGATGCTACGGCCAAAAGTAGAATATCACCGAAAAAACGATTTCTTCACTAATTCGAAAACCATGTATATTCGATCTCAATAAGCCATATTATAGATCCTTATCAACGATCATCATCGATTTCTATCAAACAAACATATCGATCCCTATATAAGCATGATTCTTCGATCCTTATTAAATCTTACTGGACGTAGCTAGATCTGCTGACATATTTATAACGTGTTGTGGAAAGGGAGATACAGGAATCAAAATAAAGAGTTTTATGTTCATAGTTTTCTGTATAAAGATTGAATGAAGAATGCCGATAATGTCTGTTCGTTGTTACAACTTTGATCAATATATTTCTTATAGACTAAATACATATAAATGGATCATAATTAATAAACGAGTGCAACAACACACATATTTACCTGAGCGGGCATTTTATTCCTGCGATTAGAGTCGTCAGTAAAAGATAAGATAATTAAGTCTTAAAACAGAATGTGGATGGAATCAATTATGTAGCCCCAGTGTTATGGGAATTTACGTAATTTGCCAAAACATCTGAAGTAAATGTATCCGTCTATAATATGTATACTGATGAGGTTTTAATGCCGAGTTTCTCGTAAATTTTCAACATTGAATCCATGTACTAATGTGGATACACGTGTTTAACCGACCCTTCCCATTTTTGCAACATTTCATTTGATTGGAGAAAATGAAAATACCAGCGTGGGCCAGATCACTGGATGGTAAATAACATCTTGCCTGTTTCAATTACCTGACTTTTTTTGTCTGCAACAGCTTAATATAAATTTCAGGAAAAAAAATTCTCAAAATTGATATATTTTTCTTTATTCGATCACACCCATCGTACATTCCGCCCCAGGAAGCCGAGACCCACTGTAATACAAAACTGATTCCCCTTCATAGAGTGATGCTTGAAATCGCGTACCTTCCGCCCCAGGAAGCCGAGACCAACTGTTAAACAAAACTGATTCCCATTCACCCAGTAATGCTTGAAATCGCGTACCTTCCGCCCCAGGAAGCCGAGACCAACTGTTAAACAAAACAGATCCCCTTTCATACAGTCATGCTTGAAATCGCGTACCTTCCGCCCCAGGAAGCCGAGATTCATTGTTTTACAAAACAGATCCCCTTTCACCCAGCAATGAATGAAATCGCGTACCTTCCGCCCCAGGAAGCCGAGACCCACTGTTATGCAAAACGGATCCCACTTCACCCAGTAATGAATGAGATCGCGTACCTTCCGCCCCAGGAAGCCGAGACTGACTGTTATACAAAACGCATCCCACTTCATCCAATAATGAATGAGATCACGTACCTTCCGCCCCAGGAAACCGAGACCCACTCTTATACAAAACGGATCCCCCTTAATACAGTAATGCTTGAAATCGCGTACCTTCCGTCCCTGGAAGCCGAGACCCACTGTTATACAAAACAGATTCTTCTGCACCAAGTAATGCTTGAGATCGCGTACCTTCCGCCCCAGGAAGCCGAGATTCATTGTTATACAAAACAGATCCCCTTTCACCCGGAAGTGCTTGAAATCGCGTACCTTCCGCCCCAGGAAGCCGAGACTGACTGTTATACAAAACGGATCCCACTTCACCCAGCAATGAATGAGATCGCGTACCTTCCGCCCCAGGAAGCCGAGACTGACTGTTATACAAAACGGATCCCACTTCACCAAGTAATGAATGAGATCGCGTACCTTCCGCCCAAGGAAGCCGAGACTGACTGTTATACAAAACGGATCCCACTTCACCCAGTAATGAATGAGATCGCGTACCTTCCGCCCTAGGAAGCCGAGACTTACTGTTATACAAAACGGATCCCACTTCACCCAGTAATGAATGAGATCGCGTACCTTCCGCCCTAGGAAGCCGAGACCCACTGTTATACAAAACGGATCCCACTTCACCAAGTAATGAATGAGATCGCGTACCTTCCGCCCTAGGAAGCCGAGACTTACTGTTATACAAAACGGATCCCACTTCACCCAGTAATGAATGAGATCGCGTACCTTCCGCCCCAGGAAGCCGGGATCCCACTTCACCCAGTAATGAATGAGATCGCGTACCTTCCGCCCCATGAAGCCGAGACTGACTGTTATACAAAACGGATCCCACTTCACCCGGTAATGAATGAGATCGCGTACCTTCCGCCCAAGGAAGCCGAGACTGACTGTTATACAAAACGCATCCCACTTCACCCAGTAATGAATGAGATCGCGTACCTTCCGCCCCAGGAAGCCGAGACCCACTGTTATACAAAACGGATCCCCCTTAATACAGTAATGCTTGAAATCGCGTACCTTCCGCCCCTGGAAGCCGAGACCCACTGTTATACAAAACAGATTCTTCTGCACCAAGTAATGCTTGAGATCGCGTACCTTCCGCCCCAGGAAGCCGAGATTCATTGTTATACAAAACAGATCCCCTTTCACCCGGAAGTGCTTGAAATCGCGCACCTTCCGCCCCAGGAAGCCGAGACTGACTGTTATACAAAACGGATCCCACTTCACCCAGCAATGAATGAGCTCGCGTACCTTCCGCCCCAGGAAGCCGAGACTGACTGTTATACAAAACGGATCCCACTACACCCAGTAATGAATGAGATCGCGTACCTTCCGCCCCAGGAAGCCGAGACCCACTCTTATACAAAACGGATCCCCCTTAATACAGTAATGCTTGAAATCGCGTACCTTCCGTCCCTGGAAGCCGAGACCCACTGTTATACAAAACAGATTCTTCTGCACCAAGTAATGCTTGAGATCGCGTACCTTCCGCCCCAGGAAGCCGAGATTCATTGTTATACAAAACAATCCCCTTTCACCCGGAAGTGCTTGAAATCGCGTACCTTCCGCCCCAGGAAGCCGAGACTGACTGTTATACAAAACGGATCCCACTTCACCCAGCAATGAATGAGATCGCGTACCTTCCGCCCCAGGAAGCCGAGACTGACTGTTATACAAAACGGATCCCACTACACCCAGTAATGAATGAGATCGCGTACCTTCCGCCCAAGGAAGCCGAGACTGACTGTTATACAAAACGGATCCCACTTCACCCAGTAATGAATGAGATCGCGTACCTTCCGCCCTAGGAAGCCGAGACTTACTGTTATACAAAACGCATCCCACTTCACCCAGTAATGAATGAGATCGCGTACCTTCCGCCCAAGGAAGCCGAGACCCATTGTTATACGAAACGGATCCCACTTCACCCAGTTATGAATGAGATTGTGTACCTTCCGCCCAAGGAAACCGAGACTGACTGTTATACAAATCGGATCCCACTCCACCCAGTAATGAATGAGATCGCGTACCTTCCGCCCAAGGAAGCCGAGACCTACTGTTATACAAAACGGATCCCACTTCACCCAGTAAAATGATTGAGATTGTGTACCCTCCGCACCAGAATTATCAGGGCGACACGAAGAGACTAATTTTATACCGTAATTGTATTTCAGTGTGTTTTAATCCTCGCTCATTATTCTTAATAATGTCAGCGATGTTGATAGCATTCATAATCACATAGACAATCCAGTAATATCGGTATCCAGCACTCGAAAATCGGAGCACACGATGTGTTCTGCAATACAATTTTTTGATTTGCGAAGTTAGTTTTCTATATGTGAAAAAGACGGAAAAATAAATAGCAATTTTCTATTCAAATTTAAACGCAGTTGGGCTAAAAAAAGGAATAAAATTGCGTCAAACAACTATAAATTTCGGTTAAAATCGCGAAAATAAATATCTTTTTAGCATGTCATAATGAAAATCCTCCAAAATAGAAATTAAGATTCATTATCTAAAAGATATGATTACTCATGAAATATTATCTTTTCACAACCTTGCATATCTGAATTATGATATTCCTAATTAGATTTTGTTACTAGTAATGAATACCCCTCCATGTATAGCATGCTCTCAAAAGGAGTGTTAATGAAAAGGAATGATTTGCTAAACACAGAACAAGAAAATATCGACATGTTTATAGAATTTGAATTATCTAAAAATCGATGAATCGAGAGAAAAATGACGGACTTATGAAAAAGTACAAGGAAAGTAAAAACCATGTGTTTCGGAAGGATAAGTGTCTCCTGTTTCATTGGCGACGCCCGCAATGTAGATTTTGCTCAATCCAAGTAAGTAATGCCACATTCCAAAATGAGAACAAGGTAAACAACAACGGAACCATATGTGGAGCAGCATAACGCATTTGGCTTCATATCGCATACAGAAATCGGATTTTTACCATTCAGCTCATTTAGGCTACCATAAAACTCCTCCATGCAATCTTCATCTCTCAAAACATAAA